ACAAACTTGTTAGAGAATCATTCTGCTTTGTCATATTAAATATACCTAAAAGGAGTGACAAATCTACTTACAATATACAGTATTCACACATAAGGATCATGTTTATGGTTTTCTTGAAAAGCAATTGCTTGTTTAACAAAGATTCTATGACTTCATTACTCTTAACTGAGGGTAAGTTCTCTTGCAAAATAAAATGATAAATGTATTGCAAGATGAACAGTTTAACAAATATTTTTTAAAATATTTTACCATCACACTCAAAAAAGATTTAAACGTTAATTTAAGCACTTTACTATTTTCATCTTCTACAACTTAACATAGTTCATTATATTAAAAATCAAGTTAAGTTCTTCCTCAATGTGATTAATTTTGCCTTCAGTATGAAGAACATGCAACTTAAAATCAGAACACCTAAGTTTTGGCACCATTTTTTTTTGCCATTAACACTTTTGGCTTCAGTATCCTTATGCACAAAATCAAAGAGCAGGTTAAAACATTTCTAGGTATAGATGAGTAAATGCTCAGCTCTTATTTCCAATAATTGAACTTCACTTTTTGTACATATGTAGTACATACGTTTCAAAAGGTAAAATTATATATTTTAATAGGTTTCCAATTCCCATTATATATGTGAAACTTACATACAAACCTATTTTTACAGAATACTATCTAAAAATAACTTTCAGAGTTTTTCATTTTATAAAATGTTAATAAACTTTTATATGGGAGGTATTTTTATCCCAATTTTACAGAATAGAAAATTGATGCTCAGTGATCTGTTCAAAGGTGACCAAGTCTTGGGATGGTGGTGTAGCTCAGTGGTAGAGCACTTGCTCACCAGGCATAAGACCCTAGTCTGATCCCCAGCACACACATACATAAAACACACAAATGTGACCAAGTCTTTTGGTCTTTTTAAAAATAATCCCTGTTTTACTAAATCCATAGTCTATAAAATGTTTTAATAGACTTTCATAGTTAGTTGATTCTGAAGCTATCTTGAAATCACAATATAACTAAAGAAAGGAAAAACGATAAGTAATAGAAATGGAATTCCAAGCCAGATTTTCTGAATCTAGAGATCCTTCAAAATATACCAAAATATAACTGTATCATAAAGACACATTATGATTTTCAACAGGAAAATTTAAAATAAATACGGTTACCAAGACTATAATAATATGCAGAGAGGAGATAAAGAAATCAAGAGATCTGACTGATATACTAGAACCCAAAAGCACGTACACAAAGCTTAAACATGAGATTTCTTTTCTCTGTTAGAACACTATAATATTACCCTTAAAACATGAAATAGTGATTGTCGCAAATATTATCTGGATTAAGTTTACATTTCTAATCAAATTTTTCAAAATGCACATGCCCAATGTATATCATCAACTGAATATCAAGACTGCTTTAGAAACTATCTCAGCACAACCAGTACAATATTGAAATGAACTTTTCTAAATCAAAATTTGGCATTTGGTAGTTTTGCTAATTAAATATTTTAATGTTATGAAACTACAATAGTAAAAGTTTTTCTAGCAAGTGACAAAATAATTTAACTGGCCTACTATCAGGGAGGCCAAATTAAAAACAATGGCTAAGGTAAAAATTCAAGTACTCACTTTGTTATTTTGTGTCACAAGAATACTTCCACCTCCAGGTTTCAAAGGAACCTCTTCCATTGCTCCAAACACATCAGTCTCAACAGAAAAAGTCAGTTCTAGACCCAGATCACTAATATCATTATCTAAAATCCACTGCAAATTTTTGGCATATTCTGGATCAATTGATGCCACATCTTGATAATTTACAGGAATACCTAAAAAATGCAAAAATATAGTAGTTACACTAAATGCTGCTGCCTTTCTGTATCTGTTTAATGGTAAAAGACTGCCCTCTACAGAAATTCTGGAAAACTGCAAAATATAATCCAGTTCACAGCATGTCTTAAACGGACATTAATTCCTAAATTTGGAAGTGTGTTAAATTATGCCTATGTTTCTTCCACATCTTCACAATGTAATCTTTCTTTGAAACAGCTATTAAGGAAGCTACTATAAACTTCAGAAGTGCCAATTACCTTAAGTATACTCATATTAAAATGTATTATTTGCCTAAACAAACACACTGAAATGGAAAATAGAACTTTCAGACAGAAGGTTTTTTTAAGTAGGTCATTTTTTCTCCCTCTAGTCCCCAAATATCTTACAAACATAGATGGTCTCCAATCAAAAATTATTTCATCCAAAATGCTACTGCTTATCTACATAGTTTTCCCTTAAAAGCTCTAACAAAGGCAATATAAATAGGTATCTATGGAAATAATAACAGAACATACCAAGAATGTGCTTGTAGAATGATCGTGTGAAATAAATATTGACCAGCTGCCTATGGTTCAAAGCTAATCCCAAGATTTGTCCAGCAAATCGGAAATAGTTCAAGTGATCAGGATTTACATAGGAGTTGCTATTGGGCTGGAAAGTTGTTCCTATTAAAATAAGTACAAAATAATTTATTCTTAAAAATCCACATGAAGATGAATAATTTCAGTGTACATAAATTAATTCACATGCAATTTTAGCAAAGCTAAATTTCATTATACAAGCTTCCACAGGAATATTCTTTTTTTTTTAATTTTTAAAATAACTTTATTATCAAACACACACACATACAAGGGCCGGAGATTTAGCTCAGTGGTTTCTGCGCCTGCCTTGCAAGCCCAAGGTCCCGAGTTTGATCCCCAGTACCAAAAAAAAAAAAAACCACACACACACACACACAAAAAAAATTAAAACCATTCAAAGAACAATGTAAGGGGGAAAAAACTACAATAATATTCAAATACAGTAGAACTCAACCAAAACAAAACTGAAAAGCACTTAAACATTTTTCCATATAACTTAAAAAAGCATCTCAAGCACCAACAAGACACCAGAGGATGTGATTTGTTTCAGAAAGG